TGCAAGTACTTTGGTACCCAAAAGTTCCTGTGACATACTGGTATCAGGGTACTTTTTTGGGTACCCTTATCTCAGTATATTCTCTAGGGTATGTCGCTGTTTAGATTTTACTGATAGTTATATTAGATCATCTTGAAAATTTGTAAACACTTTACATATCTTATACGAAATAAATGATACTCATACGTCATATTTTCCAAAATCGAATAATTACATATACCATTCATAGACATTTTGTCTCTTTCAATTTTTGTTTTTTATTGGCGATCACACTGACATCTTTTTATCATCGACAATTGTATAATGAAATAAAGACAAATTAAAAATGCTTATACAAATTAATTTCAATTTCATTTCGATATAACAATTTTCATCAGTTATATTACAATAATTTATGTCCTTTCAAATAACATGATTTATTCTCATCATTATCTAAATCAACTTTTTAAATTACATGTACGGCTAATGGCAAAGAAAAATAAAACCATTAGATCTTCATGAATGTCAATAATGAAACGAAAAAAGAAAAGGAAATCAAATGTCAAAAGAGAAAAATAAACATTACAGATAGGAAAGAATCATTCATTTCATATAAGCATATCTCGAGCAAAGTGTTTCAATTATAGTATACATACACATAATAGGACTTCGAAAACGAAAAAAAAGAACAATTCAATCATGCTTATGAAAGTAAGTTCAATAAAACAATACCCGAAAAAAAGAAATAAAAATCGTCTAGATCTTATTAATTGTTGGTATTACTACGCTTGTGACAATCATCTCTATTGGTGTGGGTATTCTTATTGGTCACTTTGCAATAGCTAAATCACAAACAAATACCTCTTGGAAACATAATTATATCACTCAACAAGCAAATCCAGAACATTATAAAAAGTTTATTGATTCTATTAAAGCAACTAATATTGAAGCAAATCTTAAGTACATTTAATTACATTTTCATGTCAACAAAAATATTTATGCATCATTAAATTGTATAGAGATCTTGCTTCACATCCTCATATGGCTGGTTTAGCTGAAGATTTAGAAAGTGCTCAAACAATGGAAGAACAATGGAAACGTGATGGATTGCAAGTAACTAAAACAAAATATAATGTTCTTCTTTCTTATCCAGATGATAATAAACCTAATCGGTGAATGTCGAATATATATATATATATCTTTATTACTATATATTCTATTTCTGTTAAGAATTACTCTGACAAATGCTAATGGAGTTCTCATTATGCAAACAACAGGGATGGAAAAGAGCTATGATCCAAAACAACCAAAAACAGTCAATCCATTTCTTGCTTATACACCTAATGGAACTGTTTCTAGCGTAAGCCATGAATAAATATCACTAATTTATTTCATATAAGAGAATATGTTTATATTTGATATCATAGAGTAAACTATTCTATGCTAATTATGGTCGCCTCGGAGATCTTCATAAATTAGCATCAATAGTTGGCAATGAAAGTCTTCAAGGTAGTATTATCATTATGAGATATGGTGGTATCTATCGTGGAAATAAAGTAATATTCATTGTTTCCTAAGCAAGTATAATGAATGTTATTTGTTAGGTCATGCATGCTCAATATTTTGGAGCTGTAGGTGCTATATTGTATAATGATCCAGCTAATAGTGCTCCATTTGGAACATCACCTGATCAAGTCTATGACAAAACATGGTATATGCCTCCAACTGGTGCACAACGAGGATCTTCACGGATTTCGAAAGGCGATCCACTCACACCTATATATCCTTCGACTGGTCTGATAATTGTCGCTCTATTCAATAAAAGTACTGTTCATATTTTTCATAGATTATATGTATCGAGTGAAAGAAGAGAACATGAAATTTCTACCGAAAATTCCTGCTCAACCAATCAGTTATAGTGAAGCTCAATTGATTTTTCAGTAGGAATCTTTCTCATTGTCCTTTTGTTACTTTTAGCTGACAATAGAATGTGCTGCATTTAGATATATGCAAGGTAGTGAAGTGATAGCAGATTGGCATGGAGCTTTATCAAATGTAACATATCGTTACGGTGGAGAACTTGTGTATTCAACGTAATGTTTTTAAAATTTACTTACTATTTCTTAAGTATGCATATTTTGTTTCATACAGTTCCATTAAAATCAAATCATATAATCGACTTGAAAGAAAAGATATATACAATGTGATCGGAATAATGAAAGGTGAAATTGAACCAGGTATTTTAAATTTATTATTCTTTCATGAGGTGAGTTTTTTTTTCATTATTGTCTTAATAGATCGATATGTTGTCTTTGGCAATCATCGGTGTGTTTGATATAAATACAAATTAGAAATTTCGAAAGCTAAATCATTAAATTGGAGATGATTTTTCTTCATTATGTATAATTAAATGTTTTTGTATTTTAGAGATGCTTGGAGTTTAGGTGCTGTTGATTCGATTAGCGGAACAGCAACTCTACTAGAAATAACTCGAGTTATTGGTCAAATGTATAAAGATGGTACTTTTTGTATATTGCTATTTAAGTGATACTATTTTTGATATTTATTCTCGATAGGATTTCGACCACGACGAAGTTTAATGTTTTGTTCATGGAGTGCCGAAGAATATGGACTCATAGGTTCAGTAGAATATGTTCAAGTATATATTTTTCATATTAGTAAATATACATGGATAGTAGACTAGTTTTTCATTTATATTGTCTAGGAATATGTTAAAGTATTGGGAGCTCGAGTTGTTTCTTACTTGAATATAGATGCTCCTGTTCGAGGTAACTATCGTTGTATTAGACGTAATAATAAAAATAATAATTATTTAAATCTATTTTTTATTAATAGGAAATTATACAATTCATGTCGGAGCATCGCCAATACTATTTGATATCATTGTTGAAGCTTCAAAAATGGTGAGAAATAGTTCTTGTATGTAGTAATGTTTCATAACTTATAACAAAAGGTTTCAAGTGCATATGATCCTCCTGACCAAACTATTTACGATAAATGGATGAAAAGCCACTGGAATAATGTAACCCATGAACCAAAGTGAAATATGATAGAAATGTCTATTTGCTTTATAGCTTTGTTTTTTTGCACAGAATTCGATATGGCTTAGGATCAAGCAGTGACTTTTACGCATTCAACCAATTAGCTGGTTCATCAAATTTTGATGCAGTATATGAATTTAATCCAACCGATCATGGCAATATAGATATGTATCCACTTTATCATACATCCTATGAAACATTTTCAATGGTGAAAAATTTTATTGATCCAGATTTTACAGTAAATCAATGATAATTAGGAATGTTTATTGTAAAAAGATCGTTACTATTTAGGCACATAGAACAATGGCTCAATTTATAGGCGTTTTAGGATTAATTCTTTGTGAAACAAATATTTTGCCATTTAATGTTATGCGATATACGATGGTATTTAAACAATTGTTAAAGAAAACTCAACAAAATAATACAGATTTTTGTATGAATCAAGTTTTGTTTTCGATTTATTTTCTTCTCATCAAAATTTATTTTAGCAATACTTCAAAATGCTATTGATGATTTTGAAAAAGCAGCAAAAGATTTTGTAACTCGTTCTAAAACATTAAACATTGAAAAGTCAGTTATTGTTTTGTAACCAAAAACAAAATGTCAAACATTATTTCTTACTTTTAGTCCATATGAAATTCGAGCATATAATGATCAATTATTACAACTTGAACGAGCTTTTCTAAATCCATTAGGGCAAGGTCTTGATTATCCTGATTATAAGTAAGAAGAAAAGAAAAATCTTTGTCATTTGTTTAATATTCTTTTTGTTTATCTATAAAAGACATATCATTTTTGCACCAGCTAAAACTGATCAATATAGTGCTTCTGGTTTTCCAACTATTAATGATGCACTTGTTGGTAATAATCAAATAGAAATGAATCAAGAAATAGCAATTGTTGTTTATTTTATACGTGGAGCTTTATCAATATTAAAACAATTTGATAAATTTATGACATGAAACGATTCTAAATAGATTTATTAATATTATTATTAGTTGTTAGTTAAATAAAAATTATTCTTTTTTTTTAAATATTTATCAAAAGATTTCAAATTTTATTGTCATATAATCATATGATATTCAATTATAAAAAAAAAATAATTAAAAATATGTGAATGTGTTAGCGAAAAGTTTTGAAGTTTGGGTGAATCCGTGGAGTTTCTACCACTTTCAAGGAAATTCCTTTTTTTTTTCAATTTTAATAGGCTACTTAGATGCAATGTCCTCGAAAACGGTCTGAAGTAACAATTAAGATCTTTTTACTCATGAAAAGTATGGAGATCCAGGTCGTTTTTTAGGAACGCCTGAACGTATATATATATACTTTTTGCATCTATGAAGAACACAATCATAGTTATTGTTTCGACTCGTACATGTTGGAGTATATCATTAACGAGTTGATTTGAACGTCTTTTGAATAATCTTAAAGCGTTTAATATCGTTTTGTGAAGGAAGACTGCATTAGGAATCAAAAAGAGAAAAACCCAACCGATGTAAGTAATATCAACGCAAGAAATTTGCACAATATTTCTTAGCTTGTTTTGATTATGAAAACATTTTCTTTGTAAGACTAATCTACAGCAATTAGAAAGCTGGATCGATAAATGAGATGTTTATAGGACGTTTAGTTAACTGGTTCTGCCAGATTATACCTCTTATGTTTTTATATGAGCATTAACAAAAATATTAGCATAAATATTAAATATTCAAGAAAAATTCGATCGAAAACAAAATTTTTCATTATTCTCGAGAGATAGACGTTCTACGACAACAGACTGTACTGCCGGACAAAACTTCGAAATCGTGCATGCCACGAATACCATGAATTGTTCCTATCCCAAACAAACAGTAAGTTTTAATTAAAAAAATAAAGAAGTTTGATGTACCTATTGTTCTCAATTGCTCCAGCCTTTCATTGAGAACTTTGATCTTAGTTCGTTGGATTTCCTACTTTTCAAGAAAAAATACATCGATAGCAGGATGATGTTTACCAGCAGCTTTAGCTATTTTCAATTGTTGCTTTTTAGAAAATTTATAAAAACTATAGGGAGTTGACAGAAGAATATTTTTTGAAAGGATGATACACCTTGCAGTTGATTTTAAAACTGCTTCAATACCATCGTCCGTACTCTTCCCGTGTCCTGTTGCCGTAAAAACCCAAGAAGCATCCAAATTGAAGTCGTTCTTATGAAGAACTAAGTTGAATATGTGGGCATAAGTTTTAAATTGAGAAGTAGACCCATCACTTAAATGAAAATTAAAAACTACTTTGTGCTACGATCCATAATTATATTCCACAAAAAACCAATGGAGTTCAAACACTTTAAGATTCTAAAAGACTTCATGATATTGTGCAAATTTCTTGAGTTGATATGGCTTACATCGGTTGAGTTTTTCTTCTTTTCATTCCTAATGCAGTCTTTCTCCACAAAACGATATTAAACGCTTTAAGATTATTCAAAAGACGTTCAAATCGACTCACTAATGATATACTCCAACATGTACGAGTCGAAATAATAGCTATGATTTTGTTCTTGGTAGCTGCAAAAAGTATATATGAAAGTTATTTCGTATGTATATATATATATGTTGAGGTGTTCCTAAAAAACGACCTGGATCTCTATACTTTTCATAACTAAAAAGATTTTAATTGCTACTTCAGACCGTTTTCGACGACGTTACGCCTAACTAGCCTATTAAAATTGAAAAAAAAATTATTCTCTGAAAGTGGTAGAAACCCAGCGGATTCACCCGTTTATCATGAAAGTATAAACTTGTGGTTCGCAAATTTAGTTTCGTTTATATTGACAAGAATTGAATGATTTTTACTTTTTATTATATCGGAAAATACATCAATAATAATTTTAATCATATAGAACATCTTAAAGACTGAAGCATTTATTTCTAGATATAATTGCAGTTATAAAAATTTTTTTGCGGACAACAATAAGTTCCTTGTTTTCTTTCTTTTTATATCATTATATATATATTTTTTTAATAGACAAATTATATTTGATTTACATGTTGTGGTCAATTGATTTCAAAATGATACACTTCGATTCGATCGTTTTCAATTTTTAGAGTACAGTTATGTTTAAATGTGTCTTCTTTGGAAACCGATTATTTCCTTTAGCAAATAAACTTCATTAATGATCATCCATTGTGTTAATAGTTATCAATAAAAATGTAGCCTTGAACGAAAGTGACAATGTCACTAAAAGTTCTTCTCGTTCGACTATTCGATTTTTGCATAAAAACAGTACAATCCTTGCTATTATCATGTATAATAATACTGTGCAATGACTACTTGCCTCTTATCATGTGTACAGATAACTTGGACAATAGAGCAAGAGTTTTATATGAAGTCGTTGTCCTGATTAAGAGCTGCATCATCATTGAGTATTGGTAGTAGAATGGATGACTATTTATGAAGCCTACTGACTACAGAAAATAATCAAATTAAAATTGTTGTCCGCAGGAGAGTAGTATGAACAAAAAAAATAGAATTATATAAATTTCAGCAAGCTAGAAATCATTTATTTGGAATATGCATATCGGTTTGTCGAAACGTAACGCTGTTATGGTTTTGACACAGTTTTTTTTCGATTATCTCATAGAATACATTCTTGATATTGATACTCTAACGACTAATGCTTGCTAAATTCGGTCTTGAACTAATTTATTCAGAAAAATTTAGCAAGGTCTTTGAAGACTACAAGTATAAAACTCACTATTTGATAGAAAAAATAATAGATACAAACACCATTTTGGAAGATGATTTGATGCAACCAGATAAATGGGAAGTGGCCACTCTTTTTACTTGGCAATTGTTTTCCAAAATAAAGTGTTGGAGTAAAATGCAAGATTTACTAAGGAGTAGAATGTGTTACCTCATCTTTTGTTGTAACTCATTTGAGCTTTTAAACTAGATCACAAGAACAAACTTCTAGACATAAATTTTTCATGAAAATATCTTGCTTATCGAGAGCCTAATGAAGATGATGCTTTATTACTAGTAAAAAGTGCACAATCTAAACGGCTGCAAGAAAACTATGACATGTAACTGCGATCGTTGGGCTATTCAACTATGTAACTGACATTTTGATTTGTATACTAAGAGCGGCAGACTTTTTCTTTCATGTATGTTTATCTAACAACAACAAGAACTCTCATATTTTAATTGTTGTGATCTGAAGAAACGAAGAAATCTTCAATACATTAGCATAAAATATTGATTTAACAAAACAAAAAAAAATGATTCCAATAGATTGTGCAATCACATTAGCCTGATCGGCTTCTCGTCTGATGTATTCTTGATGTTTCATACCATTAATCTTGACACCCAATTATCATACTGGGTAGTGGTAGAATTTTTATCATGGTTGCCAATTTCAATCTATTCTATTTTGTCAGTTGCAATGTAGCGAGACAAATTTCGATTTAGTTTATATCATTGTGTAGCTACGAAAAAAAGAAGTAATTTATATTTCAAATATAAATTAAGAGAAACGATCGATCACTTGATTTCAAATAGCATAATTTTGAAATGAGACTAAATTTGATTTGTCTGTTAGGAAATATTTGATTCGAACCACTACGATATATCGAACCATTACATGTATAGATATAATACATTTCAAAACAGTTATACATCGTTGAAACATCCTATCCAATGATATGTATGTTGAGTGTGCATGTGCACATCTTCTCTTCATCTACATTTCACATCCACATCCGAAATGTTGATAGAACATAAATTATTCGTAGACAGTCAATTATTGTGATCTTATTACAATAGATACGCTATTGATAAATAAACGAATAAAATAAAGCAAAAGTACACAAAGCATTGTCAAATTCGAATTGCTGCAATCAGTCTTATTAAGTCTAAAAAAACAAATAAGAACACGATAATAAATAAAAAAATAACTTAAATATCAATCATTACCATGATCCGATTGTGTTCTGATAAACATAACTGCATCATGTGTCGTTACATAAATTATGCTAGGTGCTGTCTTCTCATAAAAATTCATTAATTCAAGAGTATGTTGAACATCATCTTCAAATTGAGAGCAAGGTTAGTCTTAGAAGAAAATAATTTAATTTACTCACATCGACATTCACTTAAATACAATTTAATATCTCGTTTTTTCAAATCGTTATAAATCTAAAATAAAAAGTAAATTGCATGTTTGATTTTTTTTTGTAAACAATACAGACTTCAATGAGTAATTTCACTCCAACTGTATCAATAAAATTGAAGGGTGAACAATCAAGAACAACATATTTATATCGAATGCCTTCATTTTGATTTAAATTTAGCATTTCATATGGGATAAGTGGTTCTTGTCGTAATTTAATACCAATTAATTCATAAAATTTCCGTTTAAAAAATGGTGCGTTACATGCATATAGTGATTCATCAAAACGAAGAATTTTAATATTGACAAATTGCCGAGCCTATACAAATAATAGTTTCAATTTAAACAAAGAATAGTTCACTAAACCCTCAATAAATCCAAAAAAGATGATCTTACTGTAGGGTCTAGTGTAAGTGTCATGAGTTATGGTGTATGAAGCGAAGTTCCTCACCCACATCAACACTTCACTCTATCAATTACTTACTACTGGAAATAGTTTAATATTCTTGTAAGTTTCAGTATTGTCGATTTGACCAAGAACAGCAAAACGAGGTCTTTGAAAAACAAAAAAAGAAATTTTCTGTTTAAACAATAGAAAATAGAAATATTTACCTCTGTGTACGTATTGTATTTATGAGAAACGAGGCACCTAGACCTACATACAGACCAATATCGACTTCGAACAAGATTACAGTTACAAATGTAATGAGCCATAGAAACTATTTGATTCGAGAGAATGTCAAAGACTGTTGTTGGGAACAACACTATTTACTTACACATTCCATAATACTAATGTGATAGTAAAAGAAGAAATCTTTGATCTGAAACAAGAGTCCTTTCAAATTAACGATAATGATAGCAGCCAGACAAGCCATTGGAAGAGATTTAAATAATGGTGTTAGTGCAACTATGACTATACCCAAAACAAGACATGAAAAACCACCGACGAGTTGAGTTTTACAACCACTTCCTTCTTGTACTGCAGAACGGCTCATTGAACACCCACTTGGAAAGCATTGAAAGAATGACGAGACAGTATTCGATATTCCATAGGCCAATAGTTCCTAATAAACAAAACACAATGAAGAGAGAATCTATGAAATTATTATTCATACTAGTCGATAAAAATTTCTAATTTATGAAATGATTTATCTAGGTTTGAAAACCATAAAAACTTCGCTAGAAACCTAGATTTTCACTACTTTTGTGCACAATCTTCCGATGACCTGAGTTCTTTGACTTAACAGGTTAGCTATAATATACAAATCGAAATAGTAAAATTTGTTTGGAACGGTTTGGAAGTACTATTTTCATCTCTCTTACCACCGTTAATGGCATTACTTTCCAAAAATCTGAAACAAATTTTGAACATAATTATAGCCAGCTAGAAGTCGCGGATCTTTTCCTATAAATTCTATTTTTTCGAAAGCGACGAAAAAAATTCTGATTTTAAATAATTTTCAGTCACTTTTTTTTTATACAGCATTCGGATTTGAGTTCGGTAAACATCCACATAAATTAAATGATATTTCAAAATAGTTTCAAAATGATCATGCCCAGAGTAAAGAAGTTAAAAACTAGAAACACATAATTTTGTAGAACTAATTTCACTTCATTTACTTGCATATTATGATAATGGTTTCAATCAATCTTTTTGCGATTGAAATTTTGGATTTCTAGCGAATTTGTTATGATCTTTCGAACTAGATAAATCAGCTCACAAACTCAAATTTTTCATCAACCAGTTTAGTAATCTGTAAATATAGATGAATGATCGATTATACCTGATTCGAGCTAACTTTGTAGTTATGTTTTCGACTAAACATTTTAGCCATAGAAATAGAAATGCACAGAGTGACCATAGCAATTGGAACAGCATGTACGACTAAGTATGATATTTGCTTGAATGGAGGTGAAATTGGTGGTGGTAAACCTTGTTTGATGGGACCTACTACCGATACACCATGACGATTGTGAATTTCAGTGAAATGGGAGATAATAGTACCAATAACTATCTAAAATGATTGATTAAGAAATTTATTAACTCACATTCTTCCAAAGTGAAGTTTGTCGGTGAACCTACTCATCAAGTCCCGAGAAGTAATTATAACTTGATTCTTATCAGATCATTGTCAAAACTATCTCAACAATGTATAGGATGTATTAGTTATCGAATACGAATGATCAAAATAAAGTATTGCGTGCTGTCGAAGAGAAAATCAGCTCCTGGTTAAAGACTTGAGTGTGCGTCTGTACGTAAGTTCAAGATCAAAAAAGTTTAATCGATCAGGTTCAAGACATTATCCAAAAATGTTGAACCCGACGGACTATAATACTCTGATCGTAGAATAGATAAGATTTAAATTGATACTAAAAATGTTTGCATCACGGAGATTCATGGATGTGAACTATCTATCAATAAAACATATTATTAGTGTGCAGTAGAACATAAAAAAGAAATAAATATTGAAAACTGTTATTCATATCAACTCATCTTTCAGTAATCTCCGATATAGGATGCTGTCAGAGCCAGTTTCGTTAGCCCGATATCTTTTCTCTAACTAATACTAACTGTGATTCTCAACAAAAAGTCAGTCTGACTCAGAATTCTTTCAATTGATTGTTTGATGTATGCATTAAAGATAATATATGACAAGTTAGTTCTTACACAGCGATCAACAAAACTTAAACCTACCAAAATAAGTTCACTGGGAATAACAATACGTAGAATCGATTTATAACGATCATTCAAATGTTTCGCTATGTATAAGAGGAAAATAGAGGTGAAAGCGATTGCTGTTGACACCCAATTAACATGTTTAATTATTGAGGCAATTAGTCTGATATAAAATCTGGGCAATTTGAAAGCACCGTCTACATTACGTGGACTCTTTACACCGAAAACAGACGGTATTTGACTTGAAAATACATGAACAGCAGCACCAGCCGTAAAACCACTAATAAATGGTTCTGTCAAGTATACAGTAAGAAAGCCAAGACGAAAGATTGACAGAGTTAACTTAAAAAAATACATTTTATCCGTTTATCTTTTATATGATCGCGTTTATCGAACTCACTTGAACCATGCCAACGAAAAATGCCAAAGTAGTAGCTAGGCCCACTTTTTCACTAATAATCATTGCCTCAGATATATTCGATAAAACATACGATTCATTGTTAATAACATTAGAATATTCTAACGATGCCCCATCGATAGCTTGTCCTGTCATCAACGATGTAATAGCAAATGTTCCTTTAGAATAAAAAGAAAACAAGAAAATATAAGTTAATCAAAAGAAATACTCTATTTTCAATGAGACTAACCGAGAGACAAATGTGGACAAGTACCAAAGATCACATAGAGAAGAACAGGAAAGAATGAAACATACAATCCTAAAGTATATGCATGCACAAAGACAATCGAATGAAGTCAAAGTATGTATATATATATACATACCATAAACAGGTGGCAACGTTGTCAAAAGTCCATAGGCCATACCTACAATCACCACAAAAGAAGTACTATCGGATATGTTTTCGTTTAATTTGTCTGTTACCTTGTGGTATATGCATGATGGCTACTGTAATACCAGCAATAATATCTCCAAAAAGACTTGTTCGTATATTGTACTCCTTAAGACAACGAATAATTGGTATTCGATTCAGTAGTGCATTAATAATACTGATACAACTCAATGTCTTGCAGAATTTGTTCAAATGTTTTTTAATACGATTTATTGTTGGCGTACGTGTTTTAACAATTCCATATTGATCAATAAACGATTGAAGTTGCAATTGATTATTATTTCTTTGTGATTGTTGATTGAGTATTTGCCCTTCGGTGAAATTATCAGCACAACTACTATTATTTACTGTTGATATCATATTTATTCAATTATCTAAAACAAAACAACTAACAGTCAGATTCACATGAACCACTCATGAATCATGTATCCAGCGATGCAGAATTTGAGTTCTATAGAATGATACGTATATAATTAATGTGAACATAATTAAATGATGTAAGTCTAAGATTTATAAAGCTTTATAAACTGTGTAGAATTTTCAAAAAAAAACATAATTTGAGCTTACTAGTCAGAAATGAATTTTTAATTGTCGCAAAAGTGGTTTTGAAACAATGAATTTATATAAGTGGAGAATTGCTTAGCTCACAAAAAAAGTCATCTGCATTTATCTTCAGATCGTACAGTCTTCAATAAGTTTCATCAATTTCAATACAATAATTTCATTATCGAAGGTGTTGCCCGTTTAAGTTGTTCTTCAACTGCTGTCAACAAAAGTCATTTGTTTGCTTATAGTCATTTCAAAAAGTCATGACCATTTTAAATTGTGCAAAGTTTTTAATCACTAAATGCCTCATCAACGGAACCATAGACATTATTACTAATATTGAATCATGATTCTAGCATTAGTTATTCAAAAACAAAAGAGTAGTCAAAAATTTGGATGTGAAAAAGCGAATTAGCCATTCACAGTCTCACAACAGACGCTTTGAAAAACGGCTTCGATAATTGATTTATTGGAAGCTTAAAATAGTGAGAATTAGTGTGAAGACATAAGGAAATATAATGAATTCTAATGATACGATCATACAAAAGCATACTGTTAGATCTTGTGTGCAACTTACTGGAAGTCTAAATGTAAGACTGCAGAGATAACAATTCCTTGTATAATCTTATATGATTATATCAAATTCTCTTCGATGATTTTCAGACATCAGATAGCACCAGAACATGCCAGATGCAATAGATGAAATACACAGGAATTGATTCATTAAATACAGATTGTATTCCTTAGATTCTCATACTTCTGTCTCTTCTAAATAACTGTAGGTTGCGCTTTTTTTTGAAGAGTATTAGTTCAGTGTTACTAGCAACACAAACTATATAATGATCTTAAGTCTAAAAATCAGACACTGAAATAATCAATTAGTAAATATGTAGAAGAATAACAAAAAGAAAAATCCGTGAGTGAAAAGGAAAACTCGTTAAGAATGAGAATATATGTAGTCATTGAAATAATATTTGAATAAAATCTTGTAATATAAATAGAATATATTGTACGAGGCACTGGACAAAGAATTATGGTCATATAATAAAACAACAAACATGAATTTTTAAATATTAATACAAAATGATGTATGAAAAAAAATTCTTTTTGACTTGAATAATCATCATAAATTTCATAATGATTAAAATGTACCAATACTCAAATAATACATTATCTTCATCGAAAAACTTAAAAATTTCTCAGTAAACATTGAATAATGTGAGGTTGATTTAGTTTAAATCAAACTTGAACATCATAATCTATTATTACAGTCGAAATAACGTCAATAAGTAGTTTTTAAAATATATCTTTGTTAAAACTTTATAACTCTTGTCTACACTGCAAGAAAAATGCAATTTTTCTTATTAATACAGGACGCAATCAATAGTAACTGATTTTGTTCGATTAAATATAATATTAAGATTTTAAGTTCAAGTTCAAATCGAACATTTTCATATTAAAACGAAATAATACATGAAAAAAAACATTTTCGAAAGAGAAAGAAAAACTAATTTCAATACATACGTAATAATATGATATCATCAACAAGACGAAACTATTTTTATTTAATTGAATTCATTGTTGAAATATGATTTGACATATACTAAATTTAAATTAGATACTTTTATCTATTTCATCATCAGAATAAATCAATTGATTGATTGAAATTTCGTATGTATGTTTAAACTAAATGTGAGTGTTGAATCATTGTAAAAAGAAATTGAAACATTTACATAGGATAGATATGATGTGTTAATCCAATGTAAAGACGATAAATAGTAGCATACACATGCATTTTATTCTCTTATCGAAAGTCAATAAATTTTCATAAGAACAATATCGAAAAAAGGAAAAATGAATAAGAAGGGCACAGTGTCACTTTATATCTTCATGATAATCTCTAGAAGTTTGAATAGATGTAAAAAATATGAATAATCAAAATAAATTTCAAATCGAATCACTGAAATAGAAATAAAAAGAAAATCGTTATTTTGTATAAAAGAGTATGTAAAGTTTAATTTTTAAATAAATTTCTTTTGTTATCATTTACAAACACTTTGATAATAATAAACTGATTTATTCATATGGTTATTATGCTTATTTCTTATATATTTGATTTTATGAATTTTTATTTTGACAAGATTTATTTTTATATGAAAATTGAGTTGTTCTTTAATGAATTCAGTTTCTTTTTGCGTCTTTCCCATGTCGTCAAAATTATTCAATTTGACATAAATTTAAAAAAAAAATTATTGAATTATAAGAAAACTATGTAATAATGATTTCGGATTCTCAATGATTGTTTTTATACAACTTTTCCATTGAATACAGAAGCTCCTGTTAATATGATTAGTTTCTTCGTTCCTAATTGAAGAGCGTCTGAAAAGTTATTACACAAAAAGAAATTCGAATTTCTTCATCAAGTTTAAATCAAATGTACTGATTCTTTTCTTCTAGTGATAGATGAGAGTTCTAAGGTTTTATTTATGGAGAAAAACATAAGAACAACTAATAAAACAAATGAATGAGAGTTACTTTCACACAAAAGTTGGCCATGTATACGAAGGAATTTTCGAGCTCTCGCGTTTTATAGTGTCTCATTTTCTATTTAGGAGTGAAATGCACATGGATTTTTGACTCTTTATGATCTCCGTTTAAACCCGAGCACCTAGAAACACTATTGTTACTTCTTCTTAAAAGAACTTTTTTTACATTGAAATAATTTGTTTTATTTTTAATTCATATTTTTTAAATGCATCTTTATAAATAAAAAAAAACTTGATCTCCTTCTCTGTCACCAGAAGAAAAATCAGCTCATTTATTCAAGATTCGAGTCGAGATATTCGAAGTTTTTGTTGTATATATTGGCTTTGGAGATACCCTGTGTTTCTTGAAATTCATTATTTGGTGCAACTAATGTCTATCGAGATGTGTCAGTTTTTCAAAACAAATTTATAATCGTAACGAGAATTATCATAAAATCAATAACAAATGAACTATTGAAAGAAACGGCAAGAAAAGAAAAGTGAAGACAATTGTTGTATGTATTAATCTCGAGGACTATGACTATCATAATTTGATTATATCTGCTTCAGTGTGTCTCGCATACAATAAGCGCTTCTATCCGATTGATAGGTTTGAATCAAACGTATCATATACATACCTATATCTTTCTTTCCTTACATATTGGTGACACAAAAGGATAAAAGAAAAAAACTTATGGGTAATACGTATCGGTGTACAACACATGTTTTTCATCAATCAAAACAAAAATGATAAAAAGAGCTTGCAAGAAAAATCTATACTATATCCTATTGCTTGATACATAAACAGTTATGATAAACAGAAAACTAAAGTGGGTTACATTGTTTTTTTGTATTTTATTCTATATATACGGTAAGGTGAAGCGTCAAAAAATTATACATTCCATATTTGTTAACCGTTAGTAAGTTTTGAAATTTTAACAGGAGAAATACTCTTGGTATAGCATCTGTCTAGAGAAATCTCTATCTGCGTTATGTGACTATTTTCATTCGATTTTGGTCAAGGATTCTTTTTCTTGTTGTTTTCGACAAAATTAACCTTGAAATAACTCGAAGCTGTCTTCATTTATTCGGATGGCCACAACAAATGTGAAAAATTTTCTGTTTGACAGTTGCATTTTAAATAGTGATTCGTATTAGTGTTCGTTTCACAATAAAAGGCTAATCGACACTTGTTTGAAACAAGCTTTTTAAAAAGCATGTAAAAAAGTTATCAGTGGAAAAGTTACTAATTGAAAATAACTCTAATTTGTACTCAGAAAAAATTATTCAGAAACTGTTAGAAACTGTCGTTTATATCTTCAAGACATTTAGTGAGTCACTCAAATCTGGTGTTTTGGTTTTGATTCTAGCAGCAATTGAATAATTCTCGTAACAACAATTGTTCTAGTAATCTCATTTGACTACAAGCATGCTCAAGTTAGATGATTTACGTGAACGTGTGAAGAAAGGTGAGATCAATCAAGTAGTAATATCATTTCCTGACATGGATGTTCGTTTGATGGGGAAAAAGAGTCGATGCAGATTTTTTCGTAGAATCTGCTGCAGATAATGGAACGTATTGCTGTACTTCTTTGTTAGCATGTGATATGAACATGGAACCACAATCCGGTTATACATATGCGAATTGGCAACGAGGATTTGGTGATTTTCATTCAGTACCTGATTCGACATCATTGCGATTGATGTCGTGCCACAACAAAACTGCAACTGTCATGTGTGATATTTATGATGATAAAGGAAATGAGCATATTCTTGTGCCATATGCACCACGCAGTATTTTACGAAAGCAAATCGAAGCAGCATCAAAACTATCTTGCAAAGTACTTAGTGCAAGTGAATTGGAATATTATACTTATGAAAATAGTTATCATGATGCTCATGCTAAAAATTATGAAAAATCAAAACTGAAACTTTTAGGTGACTATCTTGAAGATTATCATTTACTGCAAGCAGCTCGTGAAGAAAAGTATACTGAAGCATTTCGACATCATCTCAAGACCAGTAGTATTCCTGTGAAAAACAGTAAAGGTGAAGCTGGAATTAGACAACATAAATTGAATATCAAATTCAGTGATATTATATCGATGGCCGATTGGCATGCAACATACAAACAATGTTTGAAAGAAGTGGGCGATCAACTAGATGCGAGTGTTACATTTATGGCTAAACCTTTCATTGATACTGTCGGTAGTGGTTGCCACATTCACTTAAGTATGGTCAACGTCAGTGATGGCAAAAATGCATTCACTGCTGATGGCAATAGCACAGACTCGAATGACAAATTTACTCCATTGTTCAAACACTTTCTAGCTGGTTGGTTAAAATATACACCTGATGTTATGGTATTTTATGCACCAACAATCAATAGTTATAAGCTGTTCGTGACTGCATCATGGTCACCAACACATTTAGCATGAAGTTATGACAATAGCACGGCTGCTTTTCGTATAGTTGGTAAAGGTCAATCTACTCGTACCGAATGCCGACTTCCAGGTAGTGATTGTAATATTTGTCTTGCATTTGCTGTATCATTAGCAGTTGGACTTCGAGGTATTGCTGATCAACTTGAACCACCACCGATTTTCGAAGGTGATATTTATCAGGCAAAAGAAGTTTCTCAAGCATCTCGAACATTAAAAGAAGCTATTCGTGTCTTTGAAAATAGTAATTTTGTACGAGAAGCATTTTCTGGCGATGTTGTCAATCATTATCTCAACTTCTATCGACTGGAACAAGCAGCCTTTGAAAAAAGTGTTACTGATTGGGAACGACATCGATACTTGGAACAAATATGAATTCTATCCTTTTTCGTTTCTTCATTTAATCACTTTTCATCTAAATTTTTTCTCTATTTTCAAATAGCGATCTATAAACTAAAATAAATAGTTCATTAGCCTATTCTTGAAGTTTTCTACACTCCTTGTAAATATCTTTGTAATGGATATGAACGGTATGAGTGTGAATGTGTAGTTGGATGCTTGGAGTAATTTCTATAGTCTTGACTTTCTTTGATGGTCAAGAGAGCATGTAACCAATTACAATCAAGTAGGACTTGTTATAACTATGACCCATACTCTAGAGAAATACATTGGTTCATTATGTTCTTTGTGACTGTTTATTAGTGCTATTTGCTTGTATCTTTAAATAGATATCTATATCTGCTTTGATTTCAATATTTTGCATTTTGTTTTGTCGTGAGATTTATTCTATGTTAGAAAGAATATTGTTAATTTCTTCAGACTTCCTATTTTGTTCTTCGCAAAGAGTTCAAGATTTTGTAGTTTCATCCTCTCTATTAAAAAAAAATTCAGCTTTTCTCGGATGTGGATTTGACTGTGGTTGTAGGCGTTCCCATGTAAGAAAAAAGTTGTAAGAAACGATTAAAAAATCAGATTAAAAATTGATTATAATGGCACTATGTAATCTGATTTCAATCAGATATTTTAGCCTTCAAAAACAGATTTCATTTGACTCAATCGTTTTTCATCTAATTTAATCGTTTAAAAAACCTAAATCAATTAAAAAGATAACATTAAATGAAATCTGTCCTTCGAGGCTGAAAAATCTGATCACAATCAGATTTTAATAGTGATATTATAATCGAGTTGTAATTTTTTTTACATGGCTGAGTGTAACATGTAGGTGTGGGTTTGAATGAAGAAAACATCTGCCTCACATTCAGACCCAGCTCAACTACACTCATACCACACATCCACACTGATTCAGGTTTCCTGGCTTACTTTTTAGGCTCAAGTATCTCAAAAACCATCTTAGCTTTCGATAAACTACTCCGAAAACTGAAAACAAATCTCTCAAAAGCCTTTCGGTTGCTAAATCAACAATGTCGATAACATAAATATCCTACGATACTAATTAATTACATTTCTGACAGTAACACTAGGGTATTCTAAAATATTCTTAGATTGTAAAAATTTGCATTGACGAAAACTTAAAAGTTTTCAAAACTTTCGAAGACCAAGAATATCTTTGTGACTACAATTTACGAGGCCAAAATGCCTTTCTGAAACACTTATGAGCTTGCTCAAATGTTTAGAGAACAACTTTTTTAGAGTATATGCTCAGCCTTATACAAAATATCACGGCTTGCATTGTTTATTTATGTCAATATAAACGCCAGATATAATTAATATCGCACTGATTACTTAATTAGCTGCCAAAAAGTTTTTCATGTACACGTGAGAATGTTGACATGTTCTATGCGTGACTGCACTTTAAGAAATAGAATAAAACATTAGAAGTATAACGTCAACGCTTTCTGCTTTGTTTCCTTATTAGACGACGATCATTCTTTAGACATTTTTATATAATTTAGGTGTATGTGAGAGCTGTGCTACAAAAAAAAATTATAACAGCTCAACGAAACAAATCGTGAATTTCTTAAAGTAACGTAGTAGTCTCCACACATTGAGTTATTACGCGTTAAAATTCAAGATGCAAGTGGATTCAAACCAAAATATTACTAATGACAATAACACTCAACAAAACACTTCTGTTCTTCTAATTAGTGCATTGATGAGATCCAATATTTTACTCGCACTTGGAGTGCCATCATTCATTTGTTATATTTTCATCATCGTTTACATGCTCACTCACAAAACTCATCGTTCAGCACCAAATAATTATTGTCTTTTCATTATCTTAATTCTTCAGTTTTTTTGTAACATATTGGATATTCCATCACAGATATATTTTTATCGGTACGACAGAGTACTTTTTGAGTATGGTGCATATTGTTATATTTGGCAATTTATCGCTTATAGTATTTGGACGATCAACCTGCTTTTACTGGCATGGGCTTCATTTGAGCGTCATATCTTGATTTTTCATGATCGTCTGCTTCGTTCAAAAAGAGGAAATATATGTTTGCATTATGCACCACCTTTGATTATTATTGCCTATGGCGTCTGTTACTATACCTATGCCTTTGCTTTTTATACATGCAAAAATCCGTATCTATTTCAACAGAATCATTGCAATAATGCTTGTTACACAAATTACGTACCTATAATGTTGTGGAGCAGAGTGTTTAATTATATGCTTCCTTCAATATGTACTACTATCTTTAGTATCTTACTTTTGGCTCGTGTAATATACTCGAAGCGTCGTCTTCAGCGAGCATTTAGCTGGCGAAAGCATAGTAGAATGGCTTATCAACTTCTCTCTATATCACTTCTCAGTCTTACAAGCATCTTGCCGTATAGTATCGTCAGCTTTTTGAGTTTTTCTAGTTTCAATATTATTATACCAAAATCGGTACCAAATCTTTTCAGTTTCATGAATCTTTTTGAAGTCTTATTATTCCCTTTCATATATTTGACGTCAATAGCAGAAATCTGGACATCAATTAAAACAAAAATCCATCGTATGACTACTCGACAAACGGCTGTACTGGCCTTCACCCGAAAATAAGCACAATCTAACTAATAACTATACCTTTGATGAAATTTGTTTATGTAAAAATAAATAATGGAATTCTATTTTCTTCCTTTTGAATATGTCTTGAAGAATACAGTAGTGTAAAACTTGAAATTTTAATTCAACCGAAATTTTAAGTTTCAAGTGTAATATGTATGGGTCTAAACATCACAAACTTCGATTACTATGTACACAGAGACATGAATGGACCATGGCTCTTCGAAGTGCGCTTTGTGCTCCCACATCGCGACGCTAATATTAAAGATCAGTTAGACGAGGAAAAACGTTTACCTTCTCAGTCAATATTCATAGGATTATTGAAGAGTTGAATTCAACTTTCAGAATTGACATGCATCTGGAATCTTGAAGTTTGAAAATAGAGAATTTCAAAACTTGAATTCAATTGAATTCAAGTTTCAAGTTTAACATGTATGTTTTGTTGCAGCTAACACGTAAATTATCTGTTTTTTGTCTGATGCAATTGTGAACATTATATTTCTCAATAAATATTTTATATTTTGAAAGTATATTTCATACTAGTGATCATGACATTTTAATTTTGATCACGATCACAAAAAATATTTCTAATCACACACCATCACGCAGTTCACTAGTAGATACAAAGAGAAGTGTGGGTGTTAATCTCAGTGAAGACAATATTTCAACTCATACC